CAAGCGGCGGGATGACAGCGGGCTGGGCAGCGTCCTCGACCTGCTGTTGGCCAACGCCAGGCTGGTGCTGGGAGTCACCGGCGCGGCCGTGCTCGCCATCGCCACGCTGGCCGTCAAGCGGGTAAGGCGTCCATCGGAGCTCGGAGGACGAGGGTGGCCGGTCATCCCATGGAGGAGAGCTGTTTTGTGGGGGTAGATGAATCGCAGACCTCGTTGGCTGCTCCTGAGCTGCAGAGCTGGTCCCTCAAGTCCAGCAGAAACGGTGCCGGCATGGGGCTGCGCAATCCCACCCTGTGGGGCACATACAGCCCCCACACCCTTTTTTCCCCGAATGGCACGCGTTCGGGATACAGTATCCCAGCCAGAAAGGCACCTTGGACTTTATTCACATTTGGACACCTGACTGTTTTCCACTTAAAATCCACAGACAGAAAACGTGCACTTTTGTGCCCCACTAAACTGTCCATTTTTGCTAGTAGAAGCCCCGCATGGGGCTATGTCTCCCTGTGTCTGTACCAGAGGAGCTGCTGTCCCCCTTAGTTCAGAGCGTGACCAGAAGGAAACAGTACAGAGATGATAACTTGTTCACGTGGCTTTTCCTTCCCTCCAGCTGATAGACCGAGCTACCAGCCCTCGCGACGAAGGCGATCCCAAAGCCGAGCAGAAGACCCTGGAGGAGAGCTGGCAAGACTTGGCCTTGATCAAGGTGACACCAAAACCACCGAAGAAGCAGAGAAGGGAAGATCTCAGCGAGCCTCTGCTCTCTCCGGTTCGGCCGCCGCTGCCAGGTGAGGCTCGTGGCGTTCGTGCCAGTTCCCGCCGTGGCTGGGAAGATCACCTTGGTGTGCTCCGGGCCGGCTGTGCCGCTGCTCCCCGCAGTCTGGGAGCTCCATGTTATTTTTAGCTCAGTGTCCGGGAAGCCGATCCAGTCGTGCCCTCCCTCCTGGGAGGCTCTTAAGCCGTGGCCCCTTTTTAGGCAATGCCTGCGGTAACGGCACCTCCGATAACGTCCTGAGCACCTTGGCCGCCGCGGCGTGGTGGAGGCTGTCGGGGCTTTGTTTCCTCTGGAGCGGTGGCGGCTGTGCTTGTTTTCTGGGTCAGCTCTGCCTAGAGGAAGGTGCGCTCGGGAGCTGCCGCAGACAAAGGCTGCCTTGTCCGGCTGCCTACAAATACGGTGTTTTTCCAAGTGGGAAAGCAGCCCAGCTCTGTGCAGGGCAGGTCCTGAAATACCAGACCCAGAGCGGGGTTCGTTTGTAGGGCTTGAGCGATCAGGGAGGTGTCAGGGCAGGCTGGATCTGCCTGAGCCGTCTCAGTGGGGCTGAGACCCATAGGGACCCCGGCAGCGAGTCCTTTGCCCGGCTGCTGGTGCTTAGCCTGGTTTACCCATCCCTAGCCAGGGGGTGAGGCTGGGCGCTGTTGGGTTTTGAGGTTAGTTTGGGCTCTGCCTTAGCTGAGAAGCGCTGTTAATATCAGAAGACTCGGTGGTGGCCCTCTTGGCAAGCTCAGCCTTGCGTCCAGAGAGGTGGGCTGAGAGCTGGGCACCCAGCTCGTGCCTCCCCCTCGGCTGCAACAGGAGAAGCTGCTGCTGTAGGTTGCAGATGATCTGCTCGGAGCTGTGACTTCTCCTTTCCTTCTGCCCCATCCTGTTCTCACAGAGCCCAGGGCCTGCTTTGTCCCTCTGGAGACCCCTCGGGTTGAATCCAGCCCTCCGCGCTGCCTCACGCTGCAGGAGAAGCTCCTCTCCCACTACAGCAGCCGGCTGGCCGGGCCCGAGGTGCAAGTGTCCCTCACCCCGCAGCTGGCCAGGAGCATCTGCGCCCAACTGCAGAACTTCCTACGGAGTAAGTGCCCAGAGCTGCCCTTTGGCAGCCTCTTCCTCAGCGGTCCCCTGCTCGATGGTCTTGAGGCTCTCACAGCTGACCACATCCACCTCATGCTGCCGGTGGTCCTCGATGCCACGCTCTGGAGCCTCATCCCAGGAGAGGACACCGTGGTGAGGAACCCCCAGTACTGGATGATCAAGAGGACTGATCTGGAGTATTTCCCTCGTGGGTGTAGCCCCTGGGACAGGTTCATTGTGGGCCGGTACCTCTCCTCCAATGCGCTCAACGAGACCCTCCACAAGATGCTGGTGGCCTCCATCAACTGGCCTGCCATAGGCAGCCTGCTGGGGAGCATCATCCACCCGGTTGTGGCCTCCCAGGAGCTGAAGCTGGAAGTCAAACATGATCAGGTTGAGCTGAGCATCACCCTCTTCCCGGTGGTGGAAATGGAGGACAAGGTTCTTCTGGCTGCTCCTCCTGAAGGACTGGTGGAAAACCTCTGGCTTGAGAGCTTTTACAGGGCAGAGGTCTCAAGGGTGAAGGAGCTGGATGCCGGTGACTCCGGAGCTCGGCAGCACTGCCTCCGCATCCTGAATGGCGTCTGCAAGAGCCATCCTGTCCTGCACAAACTGAGTGGCAGCCCCTTGACCCATGTTGTCCTTCACCTCAGTGCCACCAGTTTGGACTGGGCAGAAGAAAGCCTTGCTGACAGGTTCCAGCAAGTGCTTGAGGAGCTGATAGGCTACCTGGAGAAAGGGGTCCTGCCTTCCTATTTCAACCACAAAATCAACCTTTTCTGTGAGCTGTTGGAAGAGGAAATCGATGAGATGGGCTTCATGCTCTACCGGGCCATATCTGAGCCCTGCTGAAGGAGAAATGAACAGTGCATCGGGAGCTCCTGAACATAGGGTGTTCCTCACCCATCTGCTGCTCCCTTGTGTGAGGGTTGCGATGCTTCTAGTTGACTAGTCAGTAAGAGGCAAAGTTCTTTATGAAGCACTTTATGAGAAAAAAAAATATTTCCTGTCTGAATAAAACGTGCCTGAGCAGAGGTGGGTGTTGGCGTAGGGAGCCTTTGGCTGGGAGGCTCTGCCGAACCCGGGGCAAGTGCAGCCCACGCCTCGAGTACCTACAAGTGAGTCCCATCCACTGGGCGTTGTGAAGCATGTTTGGTCTCTGGTTCCCAGTGTCCGCTGCCTGTCCCAGCCTGCTGTCGCAGCTCTTGGGCTCCCCTCATGCTCTGAGACCAGCTGGAGCTGGAGGGGAGTGGATCTTTGCTGCTGCTGTGTCCCGCAGACCCCATGGGGTGCAGTGTCCCCCCTGGACACTTGGTCTTACTGGGTCATGTTCTCAGCCAGCTTTTGGGACAGGGCGGGAGCCTCATCCATCTGTAGGATGTTGCCCGAGCGATGACCTGGGTGGTTGTCTGGGCACTTGACGGTACAGCCGTAGCAAACAGGGCTTTGGGTCTATTCTTTGGAAACCCTTTCAGCTTCCAGGATGGACAAGCTCAGCCCTGCCTGTTCGTTCAGCCAGTATTGGTTCTGCCTCGAGGAAGGGATGTGCTTCCAGCGTGGCAGTGGGGCTTCATGGCCCTTGTCCCACACAGTGTTTTGCTGGAAGATGTCCTGAAAAAGGCAGTGGCAGGAAGAGAGTTGCTGACTCCCGGGAGGCTCCTGGTATGGGTCCCTTGGTGGAGGCTGCAGCAGGGCTGTGTGTCCCCTGCCCAGCGAGTGGGTCGCTGCCAGTGTCCGTCTGCGAGTCCCCAGTGCTCTGCAGTGAACCACAGCATCCCCTTCCAGTCTGTCCAGTGACCTTTTCACACATGTTGCTGCTGTCTTGAGGTCCTGTTCCCCCGAAGCCCCATGGTACAGGGCAGGAAAGAAAGACAGGAATGATGCTCCGAGCAGAGCGCTTCCAAGATCTGAAGTGGTTTATGCTTTTTATTAAGAAATGTTTTGTTTGGATATCTTGTTTTGTTTTTTTTTCCTTTGAGTGGCTGCTAGCAGGCTCTGGTTCTGGCTATAGTCCCAGGGCGAAGGAATATATTCTTATATTTAATGGGAAGAGCTGGTATTGCACACTGGTGGAGATGGAGAAATCCAGCGTGAGCAGCTGTTGTGGTTTGCTTTCCTTTACAGCTATCATCTTGTTTATGGGAGGAAGAAAAACCCTGTGCTTTTCCTCCCAGTCTGAAGATTACTTAGTTTGTTCCTCCAACCCACTTCCCAGGTGTCAGCGATGAGAATAAACCTTCCCTGTGTATCCTGGTTCTGGTGTGTCAGCTCCGTTTTGTCTCATTTTCGGTGATAAGGGCTGAAGCGATGCTCCAGCTGCGGTGGCATGCCTGGGAACTGCCCAGGGCCTCCCTGCCTGCACAGAGAGCTTGGCGGTGGTCAGACCCTGTCCTGCAACGCCTTTCTCCTCGTCTTCCAAACCCCTACGCCCGCAGAGTGCCTGGCTGCGGGTACATGAGCTGTCCAGATACTGAGCTTGTGCCGTTTACTGTGGCTCTAACCGCTCCAGCGCCTGAACGCTGGCCAGGGTTAGACCAGTAAAGCTGGTAACGGCTGATGCCATCAGCGATGCTTAACCTGCTGCCTCCGTGCTACACAAATGCTTTCTGCTGCTGTTGCCATTCAGAAGCTGCTGCCCGGGCTTCTGCCGTGCTTTCGCCAGCTCAGTGATTGCATTACAAAGCGTCGTAATCCTGTTATTTTAGCCAGCAGGTCGGTATTTTTAGGCCACAGCTGTTAATCGTGGGAGTGAGGGGTACAGGGAAATGCAACCTGAGTTCTGACCTTACCCCATAGATTTAGGCCCGATAGCGACGGACTGCTGCAGTTAAAGGCTCTCTTCTCTCTTGTGCAGACCTTAAAGCGAACCTGTGCTGCTGCGATCTCCCCTGCTTCGAGCTAGCCTGCAGAAAGCGCTTCAGCCTCCTGCCCACCCTGGCTGCTCTATGTGCCGCCTGTCACCTCAGTACCGACCCCAGGGAACTGCTCTGTCCCCCAAAGGAGCAGGGTCCTGAGCAGCATCGGGGGCCCTGGGGGTAAAAACCGAATGCTGTCTGCTGGCAGAAGAGGACACAGGAGTCTTGTGGATCTACTTGCTTTGATGTAGAGGAAGCGCCAACAGAGAAGGAGGAGATAGTTTAGACTGAACTCCCTGGGAAGCCAGGCTAAGCGCAGGAAAACAGAACCTCCCTTCAGTTCAGCCAGCTGTCTGTCTCTCTGTCCGTCTGTCCCTGGGCAGCAACACCACAGCAGATGCAGCTAGAGATAAACCCACTTTCCTTACCCCTCTGCAGCAGCTCACTTCTAAATAACTGCAGGGAGCTTCTGCCCAGAAAGCTTCTGTATTGTTCCAACGAGTGAGTGGAAAAAGGAAGATTTGGGTAGATGCTTTTACAGTAATAGCATAACTATTTTAAGTAAGAAGAAATAAAAAGGCCGAGTTAAGATGTCACTGTATCAAATTTAAAAATTAAATAATCTTTTAATAAGAAACTTACTAGTTTGACAAAAATAACTTCCATTAGCTAGCAGCATCACAGAGGCATGTCTCAAGGTTTGAAGAACAACTCTGTTTCAAATTCAGGAACTCTCTAAAATGAAGGCGTTTCCTGAGCACTGCAGCTGAGCTTCCCTTTTAGGGCAAGCATCAGACCCAGCTTCTCCACACCTGGCCCACCTTCACTGGCAGGACCAACCCTGGTAAGGGGTATGGCACCGTTACAAAAAAAGAAAGGGGAATGTTGCTCAGGTAATGTCAACTTAGAAGGGAACTTAAAATTCCACACTGTGGAAAGCCAGGGACTGAGAAGCGCTAAGCAGCCCTGCTGTCTGTCCTAGTGCTCTTCCTTGTGTAGAAAGGCTACGTACAACTACCACCGCAGTGGGAGCTCCAGCGCTGTTTTCTCTGCAGATTCACTTTCCAAATGCTTCCTTGAAATGTTTAGACGATCCCAGTCGGCTCAGCAGAAGAGCAGCTGAAAACAATGGCTGACAGCAGTAGCGGAGCCACCTTTCAAAGCTGCTTTTGAAGCCTTGCTGCCCAGGCATGCAACGCATGGGGGAGGATGGTATCCCTTGGCAGGAGCAGCCTGCAACCAACCCTTCCAGAAAGCACTCAACAGCCTCATTTCTAGACTCCAGTTCCTTTCAGCACTAGTTGCTCCTGTAGCAGGTCGCAACCCTGGACCTTTCAGGCTCTCGAGAAGTCCATCCAGGCTCAGTGGTTTTGAGGGCAGGTTTTCCTGGTGTGGCCAGGCTGGTGGCAAATGCTACAGGTCCGTGGTTTCTTGGCAGTGGCTTCTGAGGAGGGACCGCTTGGTCGCTTGGCTTTACTTCCCACCTCTCTTGAGTATCCACTGCTGCCGAAGTGGTTCAAAGAGACATCTCCAGAAGGCCCTAGAGAGAAACAAAATGCATTTAAGTACCTTTGGAAATACAAGTAGGTGAGAAATAGAAGTTCAAAATAGCAGATCAAGGATTTTACTATCCCAGCCACTCAGATTATTCCTGAAAATACACTTGCTTCAGATCTGTCTAAACAGTTAAATGTTACCCATTTGTCTTGCAGCATTAGAGAAATGTGGAAATGAAACAGGGGAGACTGATCTACCTGGTTGCATGCTCTGGTCTGCAGCTGAAGCAGAAACAACAAAACATGCCAGAGGAGAACTTGGTTTTTAAGTAGTTTTGAAAACTTGATTCTACCCCTTTAGGCCTGAATGTCTAAGGAGGAGGCGGCCAGTGCTGAAGATCTCTCTCAGACCACATCTCCACCTCTGTACTTTGCTTACTGTCTCTCTTGTGTCAGTGCTCTTTCTTTCACGTCCTTATTTCATGATTTTTTTTTTATGTGTACTTGTTTTCAGCATCCTTCCACAGCAGCCACGCTCAGTTTCTCAGCTCTGATCAAAGCTTCAGAAAGACTTGGCCTTTTACTGCATTCCTAAACTAGGGCAGAGGTAGCACAGTTTCCCTGGCATGACATATTGGGGTTTAAGATCTCCACAAGCGGTGCCACTGCTTCAATTCTGTACCAAGTCAGTAACAGCCCTCACAAAGCTCAGCACCATAATTTGGGAGGACAAATTCCCAAACAGACTGTTGGAAGGAGTGCTGGGCTTTATCCAACAAGTTACAGACAGACAGATGCTCGAGCTTACTGCACGCAGAAGCAAAGCATCGTGCCCAGAGCTCAGCAAATGTGTGCTATGAGGACATATGCTGCTGGCACTCGGAAAGGTAAGCCAGATTCATTTGTTACAAGCAACATTTGAAGTGCTATAATGCTGCTGACAGATGTTCTGAAGACAAACCTGAAGTCTGTTAAATGTGTGAGTTGCTACAAGAGCTGTCATGCTGTGGTAGCATTACGCATGTGTGAGAAGCGTGTTCAGTTTAGCTTCAAGAACAACCTCCAACCCTTGTGTCTCACTCCAAGCCCAGCCTTACCTGGTGCCACGTTTTCATCTGCCCACTGGAAGAAGCCGCACTGCTGCTCTCGGGGTTTAGAGCAGGTGTGGAACTGCCGCCCTTTGTTGGGCCCGTCCTTTTGGACAGTGCGCATGACGGCTGGCTGGTCGCAGTTGCAGACCGTGCCACCTCCTGCATCAGAACTGTTGCTTTCAAAGAGCTCTGGGCCTCTCCTTCCTCCTGGGCGCTGAAATCCTGCTGGGCCCCTTCCTGCAAAGGGCTGGGGCAGCGCAGAGCCCCGTGGAGCGGTATTGCTTCTGTCCTCTAACTGCTGATCGGCCCAGAGAAAAAAGTTGCAGGTACTGGCGCTGCATTTGTAAAACTGCCTGCCTTGATTTGGCCCTTCTTTGCGCACAGTTAACAGCAGAGCTTCATTCCCACAG